CTGGCCAACATACACATGCTTACATTGGTTACTATTTCTGGCTCATCTGCATCAACCTAGAGTTTCATTCTGCTCTTTGATAGCTGGCACTGCACCACAGGCAGAGGAAACTGGAGTCACACAAACAGGGAAAGTCTTTAAACTCACTGACCCTTCAGTCTCCCACAATAAATCCAGAAAGTGAATTGTGTTCTGTTGAGTTTTAAGGCAGCACACCAACATCAGGTTGAGCTGTCAAAGGAATTCTAGTTCAGTTCAATTCAGTAAGAATTTATTTTTGCCCAAAGGGAAATGAAATGTTGTGTCTCATATCTTTGATTATTTTCCAAAGAGTCCAAAGGTGTTGCTGTGGGCGGCAGCACTGCTAATCCCCCTCATTTGCTTTTGCTGCTACTCTTTAAATCCATCTGGCCATATGGTTTACTTTTTTTTTCTTCTTTGGGCTGCAAACCTTTGAGGTAGTTTTCTACCAGCTGTTTGATATCTAAAGGATGATTTTTAAAAAATGTATATATATTTTTTTTTTGCATGTTCTTTCCAAAGCAGCTCAGGCTCCGTGTGAGTTGACGCAAAGTATCAGTGGACACCAACTTTCGAATCATGCCACAGCTTCTCTGCCTGACTTCGGACCGGGTCATCCGGTCCAAAATTTTGGGTGGAAACTTAATTACAATTCACAAGCAGCTCAAGTTCTGCAATGGACCAGCGGCGTGTTCGATAATGGATGGAAATGGCCTAAAATTTGGTGTGATAGTCAAACAGTTGATGCGGAAACTCAGCATGAAAACATCCGGGGGCGTGATTTCAAGCGATGCTTTGTCTTTACAAAGATAACAAATTCAAATCTTAAAAAAGAAAAAAAAACCTCCAAGCTTTTGCTTTCCATTCAGTTTATTATTAAAAGAGGGCCACAAACATACACAGTGACTTTAAAAAAAAAATGCTCTTAACTTTTGGCTAAATACTTTAGGAGTGAGACATATCCTGTGTCCAGTTCTTATTTGTGAAAACACACACACACACACACGCACGCACACGCACACACACACACACACACACACACACACACACACACACACACACACGCACACACACGCACACACACACACACACAGACAAAATAAAAGAATCTAGAAGATTAACCTGACAAATATGGAACATAATTTGCAATTAAATTAAAATATTGTGTATTTAGTGTATATGATATCTTTATATCTGAAAACCTGAATGATTTATTTCTTCACTCTTGCCATTTCAGATGTTTTTTTTTAGCTGAATCCTGATGCATTATGCATTATTTTCCAGCATGAACTACTTTTATTTTAACTTTAAATTAGGTTGGAAAAAGCTTCAGCGTTTTTCTGTTGTTTTTTTTTCTTCTTCATGCTTTAAACATTTTTTGACATGATCTCAACCAAAATTTTTCTCAAACTGTTTTAATTCTGTTTAATATATATATATATAAAATATGAACTGTTAGCCTCCCACAAGCTGAATCTGTTTCTCTGTCTGGCTCCTGAGTGTCTGTCTGCATTCATCACCTCCCACTGGTGTCAGATGGTTCCCTTATGGTGCGTGATCAGATCAGACTGGCGCTACAATGACTTTAAAAATAAAAGCAACAATACGTGTGTCGGCGTGTGTACTTTGTCTCTATGACAATTGTTTTTCAGTGCGGCTTTCCGTCGCATCAGATAACATGCTCTCCGTAATCAGAGCGGTTATCACCCTAAACACCAGTTACTATGCCACCAACACCTCTGCAGCTGTCGCGCAGCAGTCAGGCTCGTTCGCTCTCATCAGTGTCTCCCGTTTCTGCCGGGCAAATATAGCCTATACAATTTTTATGTGAAATCCGCGAGCTGCAGTGAAAGGCGGCCCCGCAAAGAGCCGATCACCAATGCGCGTCACACTGTTTTGACGTTCACCTCAGTTTGAAAACCTGTCACAACGCGCACCGAATCGATTAATTGGTCGTTTCTATTTGCATGCTTGTTTGCCTGTAATCTTTCAAGCAAATGCTGCGATTTGAAAAAAGTTCCGGAAATCATTTGGGACTTTTGTTTCTCTGTCTGAGTCTAATGATTAATATGTTTTGTGAAGTGATTTTTTTCTTACATTTTGTATCTTTTCTTTTTTTTTTTTTTTTTTATTTAGATATTTTAAATGTCTTCCAGTTAGTGTTGCTGAGAGTGGGCGCTTTCAATACTACATCATCTGAAGATATCGTCAAAACGACAATATTATCGTTGATCGCAACGATTTCTGGGACAATCTATCGGTCGAAACCGGTTTCAGTGACAAGCCTGCGCTGTGTTTCCTTAGATCACATTAAATCAAAACACATCGAAGCCCGTCACCGTGTACATTTCGCCACACACCCCTCTATAAATTCAGTATTAAATGAATTTCCGCAGCAGTCCTTGTGAAAGCGCTGCGTCATGGATCGCGGCTCGGCTCCGGGGTCGCCGAGTTCGCAACGCGACACTGAAAGCCGATTGATCACCAGAAAGCGCTAAACTGCGAGTTTCTCTACGACTGTTATTGTCAAAGCAACATCAAGTACAACAAGTCGAGACGGACCCGACTTCAACGTCTTCATCTTTTCCTGCAAATGCGGGAAAGGGGAAAAAAAACCTCCTCTGGGGGTCTGGACTTGCTGAGAGGCAGAATTGGATTTATTTTATGCGCTGCACCTAATAAACTGTTAAATACGTTTAGCCGCTTCAGATTCAATCTGCGTGAGAGCTTCCGTCTGTCCGACCTGAACTCTGTCCAACTGCAGTGAAAGAGGCGCAAAGAGGTTTGCTTTGGATGCAGAAATGACTTCATGTGAGAGAGAAAGAGAGACAGAAGAAAAAGTTTGACAAAACCTTCAGAGAATTATTCTGCAAAATAAAATAAAATAAAAAAGTCATTTCTTTTCCCGGTTCAATCATTCACGTCAAGTCACACAAACAGTCAAACAACCCCCAACAAAAAAAAAAAATTAAATACATTGAAATTCCTCTTACTTCTTGTGCATCAGCGTCAACTCCAGATGCTTCTGCAGTTCAGTGCTTCGCTTTGTTCCTTGCAGCCAGATGAGCAACCAAACATCTGCAAGACCCACACTGGAGCAAAAGTTCGCTCAGACTGATTGACCTGACGACAGACGCGCTCATAATTACCGTAGACATGAAAAGGACTGCAATAAAAATAAAAAAAAGACCAACCCCAGCAGCAGACAGAGAGAGGAGAGCTGCGTAGCTATTATGAGCACTTTATTTTCAATTAAGGCCTCGTGCCTCCACAGCGAGCTCACTTTCTGACAGATTTGATGATGCGGGGACTTTCTCTCGACGGCAAACTGCGTGGTCAGCAAACGTCCTTCGGTCATTGGAGGGAAGACGCGCTCGTTGTCGGAAACATGAAAGAAAGAAAGGACGGGAAAAAGAAGGGATTGCAACTGTACCTGACTTTATAGGCGTTTGTCCTTTTAATCTTGTAAAATGTGAATAAATAATTGTCCAGTACTTGGTTAATAAATGATTCAGCGGAGCCTCATGACCTTACACCAGCAGTAAGCATGCAGGGTTTCCCCCACTGTATTATAAGCCTGGCGGGTCACCAGGCTACTTGTGCCCCGCCAGGCTAAGCATTGCCTATTTATTTAAGTTTTTTGTTGTTGTTTTGTTTGCATTTTAACTTTATCGATGATGTCCAGGTATTAGTCTTCAAATCTTCTAATAAAGCGTGACTATCAAGTAATATTTCCTGTCCACTTCAAACGTTTTTTAACTCAGAAACATGACGGGTCAGGCTCAGCAAGTTTTCTGGGGAAAACCTGACAACAATGGGATCACGTCTTTTTGCCAAACAGCAGCAGCTGTAGGCCTGAATCTTTGATGGAAATAGCTCCTTTTAAATCCACGAGCTAGAACAGACTAGTTGTTTTCCTCTGAAGCATCGACATCTTTTAATTATTTGCTTATTCATCGCATACATATTTAATCTAAGTGCTCACAGCACTGGGAGGGATCCAGAAACGCAGCACAAAGCCGTTTCACTGAGCAAAGAGCAGCTTTTTGTTTTTGTTCAGAAATGTTGCCCCTCTTTCCCCAAATTACTACTTATCCCGAAAAACACATTCATAAGTTAATGTCTTTTTATTACGTGCATGAATCGTGAATATGAAAAAATGATTTTGACTAATCAGACCAGGACCTTCCATAACGGATGTGAATCACTGGATGGAATGGTAATCAATAAAATGATGTCTATAAATGCAGGTTACATAACAAATCCAAGTTTTAGAAGTTTTTTTGTTGCTTTTTTTCCTGGAATAATTATATTGAATTTTTATAAAAGAATCAGTAATGTTTGAAATCAAGTTTTTATGTCATTAGGTTTGGAACTTTTTTTTTACACAATTTTTCTGAAAATGTCAAAATTCCAAAGAAAAAAACCCCCAAAAAATATAATAAAAGGAAAAATAAATACAAAATACAATAAATTTTCTATAGTAGATATAAATAGAAAAGAAAGTAACTTTTTTTCAGAAAATCATGGAACTTTCTATGTTTTTTTCTGGATTGAGGAAAAAAAAATTCTCTTCAGTTTGCAGACTTCTGAGTATTTGATCTGGTTAAACACTCTACACCTTTAAATCCCGTTAACATTGGACTTTTCTTTACAATAATGACGATACCAAACGTCCGACCACGTTGTCTGAAATATCCGCCAGCTTGGATTCAAATCGGTGTAGCGGCCTTCGCATCCCCATATTTTGAAGCAAATTCATTCATTTCTATCGGTAAAATGCCACGAAACTCAAAGTTTAGTCAGGTGAGCTGATGTGCAAAAATAAACTTATGCGTCATTACTAACTGAAATGACAAGTCTGACCTCCTTTCCCCATTTTTACTCATCATCCGACAAAGCAGCTGCACAGTAAAGCCAAACCTTGGAAGCTGTGTGCCTTCGACACGTCCTGTTACACCTTTTATTGATCTGCCCAGGAATCTACATCACACTTTAATCCAATGCCTGGAGAAAGCTTCCAGACACAGAAAGGAATCAGAATGAGGAAGGAAGGAGCGCTCTGCACGGGTGAGAAGTTTTAAATTTCCTTCGATCATCGTGACTCTGATTGAGATTTACTCTTGGTCTCACATTTTATGGATCATTACTGTGTCCTTTAGAAATACTATTCTGGATTTTATCCATAATCATGACTCCACACATATGAAGGCACTTTTCTTTTTTTTGTCCCCTGAAAAATGAGATTTTTCTCCTCATAATGTATAACTAAAGACTCCAAAAGGATCTGCCATCTTCTCTAATGAATAAAAACGTTGAGTAATCATAAACACAATGCAAAATTAACTGAAATGTCTGCAAATGTCCTTTAAATCTTGACTCTTTGTTCCATCTTAACAGAATGACGGCGTCGCTGTATCCTACGTGCACAAAGGAGCGAAATCACAGCTCCTTCCTTCCAGCTGCTCAAACTTTGGCCATCGTTCTTCCCAGAAAAATGGAGCTGCAGAGCATTTTATTATTATTCTGTATTTTTGTGTGAACCTCCACGCTTCAACTTGCCTGTCGCTTTAAACCTGCATTTTTCCACTGAGGGACAATTAAACATTTCTACTCAAATTTCAATTTAAAGGTTAGAAAATGGTGTTTTAGCATTTAGCAAAGCTAATTTTAATCTTCATTTTAACTCTCTTATAAGTGCCTTTATAAGTATTTTTATTAGCCTTCTTAAACTAGGATTTAGTCTGAATTTTGCGCCATGAACATGTAAATTTGAGCTGGTATGATAATGAAGTTCCAAATGATTATGAATGATACCAAAAATGCATTAGTGATGCAAGAGGTACTGATCAACCAACAAATGAAACATTTTGGAGGAATTTTGACTGATGCTTAGCTGCTCATAGTGAACTGAATTTTGAGAGAAGGGTTGGTTTCTTTCTTCCAACGACTTCTTTTCATTCGAAAACCTTTGTTTATATCAATATGTGACATTTATTTTAAACTGTAAATGAATAAATACAATAAAACTTATGAGATCTCTCTCTAGAAAAAGGTAAAATCTGATTCCATGTTGCTTTTGCAAAATCTGACAGGTTTGTGTGACATTGCCAGTTAATTTCACAAGATCCAAGAAACATTTTGCAGGATATGCAGCTACTTTTGCGAAATCTCACAAAGATGCAAGGGAGGACTAGGCTCTGACGTGTCGGGTTTTACAACGGGCATGTGCTGAAGACGCCTATATCTGTCAGGTTATGGTCAGACCAGCCTCTCTTTATAGATTCTCAGCTTCATTCCTGAGGCTTAATGACATAAAACTAAGTATTATTGCCTGTATTTTTGCACTATGCTGACTGATCAGACTTTGACTATCTAGTTTTTCTTTTCCCGTTTGATGAGTAGAGAGACTCCAAATCAATTTCCTGTTAAGGACCATAAATCACAGTGGGAGGGTAATTTACCTTCTCACAAAAACGGTTCATAGACAAACTGATCAAATGTAAATGAAAAAAAAAAAAAAGAACAAAAACTACAAGTGATGGGTTTCTTTTAATGAATTGCAAGCTCTGGAATAGTCTTTTACATTAGCCACATTGGGCTGCACTCAGTACATCACTACCCACCATCTCAACATTTACACAAACTTCAAATGCTCAACTGGGAAAATGTGAAAAGCAGTTCATTGATTCAGACAGCTGCCTTCAATCTGCAGGATTTCTCTCTCTTTTTTTCTCTTAATTTTCTTCCTTCACACACCACACAAATAATCTACAAATTAAGAAAAGAGATGCATTTCTACTCTAAAATGTGCTAAACAGAAAAGAGAAGAGTTCCAAGGATTAGCGATTTTTTTTCCCTCCTCCCCCGTCATGTAACAAATATAATCTCTTTTTTATTTATTTGGAAGTTGCTCGTCTTAAACTGTAAAAATAGACCAGCATATTAAACAGATGTCAGTCCTGCTTATTAACATTTATAGGCTGAAACAAGCTGAGCTTAATTGGACAGGTACGGGGAAAAGCTGCACCATTATCATTATTCAACTTTTAAAAATTAACACCCTATATATATTTATATGTAGAGAGAGGTCAGCATGTGGAATGCATAAATTAGATCTGAAGACGTTGCATTATCGTGGCACACAAGAAGCGTTGCTGGTTTCTACCCCCTGACCTCTGACCTCCTCCCTCTGTGAAATGATGATTGCTGATGTGAAGCTCCTCCTCTTCCTCATCCTGCTGCTGGGGATCAGAAGAGTTTGATCATGCTTTCTCGAGACTTCCCCACGCCGACCCACTTCACTGCAAGGAGAAACAACAGCGTTTGAGGACGTGAGTGGCGGGCCCGGCTCCGGTTTCTCCATTAGCCGAGGAGATCGCTTTACAAACCTGGCACTTGCAGGAAGTCCTCGATGAAGCGGATGTAATTCTGCGCCTGAGGAGGCAACTCCTCAAAGCTCCGGGCCGACTCGGTGCTGCAGCACCAACCGGGAAACGTCTCGTAGTCCACCGACACCCGCGTCAACACGTCCATGTTCGCTGCGGCACGAGAGGCAGATATTGTAGCGAAAGTGGCAGAGAAACAAAAACAAAATGCTTCTTTTAGGAGCAGAAAACGGATCGGTTTTTATCACTCTCTGGGTAAAAGACTTCAAATGTCCTATTTCTCACATTCTGAGAAACAAACTGAGTGTTTAGGAAGACAAATTTAAAACAAAGGCGTTGCAGTTTCAGCTTGGAGGAGCTGATCCAAACAAAACCTGTGCGATGTTTATCCATCAGGGCCCAGAATCTGTACGCAACAGATAAAGTGTCTTCTAATTTATGAATGAAGAATAAAGACATACCCACTTCACGGATTTTACGGGAGTTAAATATTAAACTGTGAAAATTCAGTAAAATACATCAGATTTAATTTTTTGTGTGTTATTAATAATACAGCATTCTCTACATTCTACATCAGGGACAAGTAAACTAAATTAATGAAAAACGTTACAATTAGACACCTGATTGGTCTGAGAAAATTACAAAAATAAAAAAAATTCTCGCCAAGTTTTCTGCCACATTTCAAATAGAAATGATTTTGTTAATTCCACAATAAGAAAAGGATCGGCTGATTTCACTTGACATTCTTTAAATATCCGGTTTCAACTGTGAACAGCATTTTCCCAAATTTAAATCAAGCACTTTCCAAACCTTACGTTTCAAGTCTTTTTGAAATTCAAGAATTTTCAAGGATTTCAAAGCAGCTGATACAAAACCCTGATAAATAATCCAGATAGACCTTCGAGCTGCAGGAAGTGCTCACCTGGGAAGCTTGGCAGGGGTTCGCCATTAACCTTGTAAGCCACGCCCACTTTAATCTCTGGCAAGGTGTCCAAGATGTCCAACTTTGTCAAAGCGATTCTGCACAAACGAAACATGGCTGTGTTGAGCTCTGGAAGCTGCAGAGAGCAGACGGGGAGAGGACGCCGCAAAACGGTTCCTTACGCCGAGAAGCCGTTGACCATGTGGGCGTATCGGACCAGAATCAGGTCCAGCCAACCGCAGCGCCTCCTCCGGCCCGTTGTCACACCAAACTCTCGCCCCCTGCTCTGCAGCAGATTGCCGATGTCCTGCAAAGCAAACAGGATGTGAAACTAGTGAAGCAGGAAGTTTATCTACGTCTAAAGACTTTGGATTTTTGACTAAACAGCATCGATCTTTTTAAACGGACTGGTTTCCTGGTTTGAGAACGAAACGAAACAATTTGGTTCTTGAATTGCGAGGAGAAGTTGAGTAAGTCAAATGCACCTGTTGGACATGAAAGATGCTTTTGGAAAGAGCAAAACTGTCTCACAGTAAAGGATCAGGAATGCACCCTGACCTCTTCCTCATCAAAAATGGATGAAAGTCAAGTTTTCGCCAGAAAACCAACCATAAAATCAACTCCCTTTGTGCCAAGAAGAGTCTTCCAATATTCAGCCTGGAATATGTCAGTGGGGTTTTCTTCTTGCCAACATTTATCCAGATTAGAACTGAAAGGATTAATCGGCCTAATCAATCACTGCAATAATTGTCAACTAATTTAGTTTGATGAATCATTATCTGGAGTGTAAGAGTCAGAAACACATTCAGAGCAGAAATGAAGCCAAAATTGGAAAAATAATATATATAGATTTTGCATTTATGGTATAAAAATAATAATAATAATAATAATTTCTGTAAATATTTTCTATCCTGAACTCCTTGAGTGGTAGCTTTAGCTACACCTGGTTCAAATTCTGTAAAAGAAAACAAACCTCCTCCTAAGCACCTTTTGCTGCCCAGTTAATTAATTATTCCAAAAATTAGCGGATAAATCCTCCACTTTCACATGTTGATGTTGGCAGCATTCGTTATGTTTTGTTGGAGCAGATGCCTCCTTTGTTACAAATGATCAACGCTCACTAAAGGAATGTAGAAGATTTGCATTTTCTTACTCAAAAAAGCAAGTGAATTACTTGTGTATTTGAATATTGTAATGCATTTCTGAGTTTGTTTAAAAAGGCTTTAGTGGTTCAATGAAAAATCTGCAGAATGTGTCTCTTTTATCCGATTAATTGATAGAATACTCAATTACTAAAATAATTATGTGCAGCTCTAATCCAAATACTAGAGGGAGTGTTTGTAGAAATTTTAGTCTATCTACAATAAATTAAAACCTATTTCTATATCATCCAAACTATCTGGTGTACATTCATTCCAGCGTTTTGAAAGAGATACTCAAAACATAATTAAAATATTTATACCAGCTGTATCTGAGGATCAGGAGGCTTTAGACTTATTTTTGCAGAGCATCTCAGCAACTTCTGCAGTTTTTATGGGAAGCACTGCTCCATAAATCTGTCAGCAACTCCAGTCGGGTCACAGTTTCTCACTCACGTTATCCTGCTCGGTCGGAAAAGCGCCGACTCCCACCCGGGTCGTATAGGCTTTAACGACGCCGTAGACCCGGCCGACATACGAGGGAGGCACACCGAGGCCGGTGCAGACGCCGCCGACGGTGCAGTTAGACGACGTGACGAAAGGGTACGTCCCTAAACAGAGACACGTCTGTTAGGGCTTCAACAGGGACGAAGAGAAAAGACGCGTCTTCCTCGTGTGGTGGAGTGGAGTCTCACCAAAGTCGATGTCCAGCAGAGCAGCGTTGGCTCCCTCCACCAGGATTTTCTTGCTGGGACCAGTGAGAGCTTTGTGCATGAAGTACACGCCGTCAGTCACCAGGGGGCGCAGTTTCTCTGCGTATTCCTACCAAACAACAGCGCTGCAATTACACTCAGAAATTCATCTGGGCATCATTTCAAACGACTTTTTGTGTTAAAAATGAAATAGAAATGTAAAAAAGGGAAAAACATAATAAATTACTTTGAGCTGCTTCAGCTCCCCTTTGATGTCGACGTTGAGGTTTGGATACATGGCCAGAAAGTGATCGGCCAACATTCGAAACCTGCAAAACCAACCAGAGAGCAGATCTAAAAAAAAATAGACTCAATTCACAAGAGGAAAGAGATGAGAGCAAAGAGGAGAAGGTCCTTTCAGATTCTAGACTTTAGAGAGGTGCTGCCATCTGCTGGCCAAAAAATATACAGCCTTTTGTTATATTCATAAAACTGCTGATTTTTCAGCATGAAAAGAGATTTTATAAAGTAGTGCACTTAAATAAACTGTGGATATGAATTTAGAATTTTGTCACAATATTTTGTGGCGCTATTGAGATAAGGATTAAAAAAAATTATGATAAAAAGTATCTACTACTTATTTTTTAGCGAACCGGAACAGCATTCATGGCACCAAAAACACAAATACTGCTCTTGCAGACAACTTCCCATTTCTTAAAGAAGTATGATCCGTTATACTAAGCTGCAAAAATATTTGCTGACAGTTTTGTGGAACTAACAATTTAGAGCGTAGTAAAATAACATTTCAGATGTCAGGGGTTTTGTTTTAACATTCATTGAAATTTATCGGGACAAGTATACGATAAACAGCCACCACTATATGGATGCAACAAGAAACTGTCATTTTAGGAGACTTCCATATGAATTCAGATGTAAAATCTTCTTTTCATTGCTTCAACTGGCTTTTCACAAAGTAAATTCCCAGTCCTCCTTAACTGTTCATATCGAAAGGCCTGCTTTATTCTACTTTTTTGCAACAGAGGGTTCATTTTGTTCTGAAATCTAAAAATAGAAAGGCACTCTAGTTGATTTTGTAAGCTTTAGTAATAAAACATTTTACTCTGGCCAGGTTTTTATTTTGTAGCAGCGGGAGGAAAAAGAAAATCATCTCTTTGAATGGAAAAGGTTGAAACTTGGGACACAGCTGCCACTCACTTCTCTTCAAAAACCTTGAAATCTGAGACGAGGTCACAGACTCTCAGACCGTTGCGAGCGGCTTTGGACGAGTAGGCCGGTCCGATGCCTTTCTTAGTGGTCCCCAAACTGCAGAGCAGATAAAAGACAAAACGCTGAAATAATTCACAATTCGAGACGAGTTGCAGAGAAGCACGTTCGCATTGCGTTCAGGTAAGTTAACAGACGTACTTTTTCCCTTCTTGCTGCTGCCGCTGCTGCTCCTGGATCCCATCGACAGCTTGGTGGAAGTTGAAAACTAGTGGACCGAGTGAACCGTGAGGAAAATCAACAACAAAAAAAAAGTTTCCATGAAAGAACGAGTGAAGTAAGGAAACTCACCGATGTGGGCCCGATCGGAGATCTTTAACCTCTCCTCCCATCCCTGTAATCCTGCAGGAAACGGAGAAAACTTCAACTCACGAGTGTTTTTACACAAATCTGTGTGATCTGCCTGGAGAAACGGTTCTTACCTTTCCCCTTCCGCAGGTTTTTCTCAGCCTCTTCAAACAGACCTGGCAAGTGAATCACCACTCCATTTCCTGTTTACAAACGAGGAGGACACGTCTAATATCCTGCAAAATTAATACTCATTGCGATTATGAGACTGCTAAAAAAGCAAATGCACTTGTTAGTGCATTTTTAAACATGTTTAGTTTAAAAAGGAGGTAAATTATTCATTTGCATCTTTTTGGGGTATTTCTTATATTGCGTACAATATGTTTGGGTGGTTAAATGAAAATCTGAAGGATGGGCCGCTTTTCAAAAAATCCAATTAATCGATCACTAAAATTCAAATTCAAAAACACTTTACTGATTCCAAAGGGAAACTGAATGCTGTTGTAACTCATTTAATTCTAGATTTTTCAGAGTTATTGCAGGTGATGACGCTGTAGGCAGGAAAGATGTTTCGTAGCAGTCTGTACTACAGCGGCTTTTGAAGAAACCTCTGACTAAAAACACTGTTTTTCCACTAATAATAATAATAATAATCATTACTTACAGTCCTACTCTGGTTGGATAGAAACAAAATGGACCTTTTTGGCCTGAACATCCTCTTCATGAAAGAGGCTTCTTCACAGCCTCTGTAATACAGACTGCTACGTCAGAGCACATTCAAAGTCCAGACCTCAGTCCGACTGAGAATGAGTATCCAGGCTTCAAAAAAACATAAATGATGAATCACTCGCAGGGCCAAAACAAAGCTCATGGAGTTGGGGAAACATTTGTACGTTGAGTCCATTTATCAGTTCCACCCCAGGTAAACTGGACTGTCGTTCAGTTCAGCTTTCTGCCAAGCAGTACTGCCTCTATGATTCAGTGCCCTCTGTTTACTACAACGCTTCCTTATCTCTTCCTCAAGCGGGGAAGAGATAAAGGAGGCCCGCTGAAATTCGAATGCTGGCCTTGGTTTTGTCATCCCGCCATCTTCTGCCCTGAAAGCGATTAAAAGCCTACCGATGAATGAGATGGCCTTCTTGTTGAGCACGCCGCTGGGCAACAGGTGGAAGTCGTACTCCACTGAATCCACCACCACGGTGTGACCTGCATTGTTTCCCCCCTGCAAAGCAGCAAAAAACAAGCAGCCGTCCTGTCAAGACAATCCTGCAAAATCAGGTTTGCAGGCTGTAATGTCATTTTCTGATGGAGCTTCAAAAGGCCGTGGCAGCTCTGCTGCAGGACAGACAGGCCGGCAGGGGGAATCACATTTGGGGTACTGGTCTCTGAAGCTGGGAGTGTGAGAAGCAACAGCTGCTTTCTGCAAGGTCGATGCCTTGCAGAAGGGATTATTCAGTGGCTGTGCTTATCTGCGTGGAGGTCACGAGCTGCATTCTCTCACCGTGTCGTTCTCGTGACTATGACTTAAAAAAAAAAAACAGAATGAAAAAATAAACAAAAAAAATGACCGCTAACATGAAACTAGCCCTTCCACATCCGGGAGGTGATGACGTCAGAGCGGGTCATGAATATGTAAAGGAGGCACACGCACACACACACACACAAAATAGTCCGACTTCCGCTCGCGAGTGGAAATGTAACAGTTAGTTCAAACATAAAAACGACATTGACCCAACATATACACGGCGTCAACTCGGTCGTGTAGTTCGGTACCTGGCACCTGCATACAATATCCGCATCCATGGCGAGCAAGTCCACGACTTTCCCCTTCCCCTCGTCGCCCCACTGCGCTCCGAGCACCACGGTCACTTTGTTCTGCGGCTCCCGCGGCGCGCGGAGCGACACGCTCTGCTGGACGTTCTCCCTCGGCCGCTTCACCACCGGCTCTCCGTTCAGGGAGGCAGCCTCCTGGCCGTTAACGGCAGCCATGTTGTTGTCGTTGGATGCCATGCTGCCCTCTCTCCTCGTTTTACCGCGTTCTCTCGCTGCTCCACGGGAAGTCCTGTCGCCCTGTGCCGCTAGGGGGCGCCTTTTCCTCCTAGTCACTTATTGTTCTGGGTAAAAATCGTTAATGTTGGTCGTTTTTAGTTTACTCTTTACCTGACTTTGAAAGCATGCCCCAAATAAACTAATTATATTGAGTTTTAGCAGATTAGCGGGTTATTAAAATATCGCGAGAAGGCGACGAAAATGTATGTGACGTCACATGACGCATCAGCACAACTTCCGGTTGTTTTTCTACGGTACTGAGAAATGTGGGGGAAAAAAAAGAGGTCATGTTGTTGAACTCTTGACAAGAGTCTCTGGTCCTATTGGGTGTTCATGTGCTTGTTAATGTTTAACTTACTGCATTGCGCACCAAGCTGCAGATATCTGAAACTCTAAAAAGCTCATAAGGACAGAGGATTTTTCTGACAGAGAGCATGGCTGTGCTGAGAGCCTCCAAACAAGCCCTGAGGAAAGATCTGAAGCGTAGGCTTGCTGCGCTTAGCGCCGAGGAGAAGCAGCGGCAGTCCCTGGTGCTTTCACGCAAGCTGCTGAAACATCCTAAGTACGTGTCCTCGCAGCGGATTGCAGTGTTCCTCAGTATGGATGATGAAGTGTCCACTGAGGAAGTAATCAGGGACATTTTCAAAAGGGGCAAAAGCTGCTTCATACCCAGATATCTGAGCGGAAGCTCACATATGGACATGCTGAAGATCAACAGTCTGCAGGACTTGGAGAATCTGCCTCTGACGTCCTGGAATATCCGGCAGCCGTCGGATGATTGCAAAAGCAGAGAGGAGGCATTGTCTTCAGGGGGGCTGGATCTCATGGTGATGCCAGGCCTGGGCTTTGACCTCAACGGAGGACGCCTCGGACGAGGAAAGGGCTTCTACGACACTTATTTGAGACGCTGCAGTGAACACCCCAAAGGGAGGCCTTACACCATCGCCCTTGCTTTCAAAGAGCAGCTCTGTCAAAAGGTTCCTGTGGACACCAATGATGTCTTCATCGACGAAGTCCTATACGAGGAGCCATAACCAGTCATTTCTATGTACATCTCACATGATCCAGGATAATTCATGAATCAATTCCCACTTCATAGGAATAACAGAATGTATTCTTGTCTTTCTGACCTCCTGTGCAATGATGGTTTGGTTTTACACACTCACTATTTGGTGGTCATCCACAGATGACCTACCTGTGATGTATGTAATGACATAATACAGTCTGACCTACTAATGAAAAAACAAAGATTCAAATAAAACACAAAATATCAAATAAACCTGGTAATGAGACTGATAATTTGGACTTACGAGTTTATTACCAGTAGTTCCTCACGGTTGCATATTTTCTGATCATCGAGTTTTAACAATTTATGACTGAGAAATGGTGCGTAAGTGTTCTAACATATATTTAACATTATTGTGGAGCAATTTTAGTCCAATCTCCATTTTCAGGATTGTTTTACATCAGTCCCATTAAAGGAGTTTGAGCATGAACAACCTTTCCACAGCGTTCCAAATTTAAATGCAAATTGGATGCAAGTGTCAAAGATTACATTTTTTGTTGTGTTATTAAATTCACTGATGGTCATGTGTGTCAGGGCTCTTTGAATCACTCAATTAAAGGAAATTTACTTCAGAAGGATGTTCCACATTATTAAGCAGGCCACAGGTTTTAAGCAGTATGGGAAAAAGAAAGAATCTCTGCTGAGGAAAATCATCAGATAGTGTAGTGCCATATGACAAGGCATGAAAACATATATTTAATGAAAACTGAAGCGTTATCGTACCGTGAAGAGATTTGTGCCTGACTTAGAACAAAGATGGGTTTGTACAGATAAATAAGGAAGGTTTCTGTTAGACAAAGCAGCAAACAGTTATTTGAAGCTGCTGGTGCCTCTGGAACCTCAAGATGGAGGAGCCTCCAGAGACTTGTGGTGCATGAACCTACTATTCGGTCTCCCCTAACCAGCAGGAACAGAAACCTTCTGATTTGGGTTTAATGACTTTAAAATGGCAAAAAGGGTAAATGTGCACTTAGGGGTTTTAATTACCAGCCTTTGCCTGAGCCATATGATATACAGATGAACTCCTTAGGGCTTATCTGAGGTATCCACAGCTTCCAAGTCTCCTGAATAAACCTTGAGCACAACAAGCTACTAAAAAAAAAAAACTTAAAACATAAAAATTAAATCAAAGCTTATGTAATGCCATTACAGCCAAATATGGTAAAAGGCAGTCAGAAAGAGTTGGCTGATTAGCCTGCATGTGTGAATAAAACACCATAAGACAGGAAATAAGATTAAGTTATTGAATTTAAATACATATATTTCCATATATTTAGTAAAGTATTCAACAATATTTTTATTTTTCTATAAGTATAAACAATAAACACAACAGGAAAACAACAACAACAAACAATAAAACCTGATGATGCTCATGAGGGTTTTTTTCTTCTCTTATTCAAGTCCGTTCTTTTGTATGCAGGGTGATTGATGTTCCATCAATCAATAATCAGAATGTTTTCAGTCCATGACCCAAGGCAATGGGTCCGGAAAAGAAAAGTAGTTTGATTCGGTAAAGTACTACCACAAAGCTCCGGTGATCCAGTAGCTCGCCGTCCTGGGTTGAAACAGTGGGTGGAAAAGAAAAACCTGACCTAACGTCATAAATAGAAAAAACAAAACAAATTAGCATTCATACTTAAATAGTTTTACTGCTATCAAAAGTAGCTAAACATTCATGAAAAAAAGAAAAAAATTCCTGTATTCCATAAAGCATTTCAATTCAAATGAAATGAAATTACAAATCAAATTAAAGTGCACTTTCAAGTTGTCTGAGTTTAATTGGCATTAAACTTAGACTTTATTGACTTAAGTATTGCTTTAATAAACAATAAATTTTTTTGTTGTTGCGCAAATCCAAATAAATGCACCAATTCCAGATTTCTATAGGCACTCAACAAAATCAATGAAAAGTAACTGAACGTGTCCTAAAAGGGACACATTTTCACAAATCAAAGGGGTTATTTATACTATGAGGATAGATTTTCTATTCGGCCACAAAATGAAGAAAAAGAAGATGATCTTTTAATCTATAAGACAATTTTTAAATCACCAATAAATAGATTTTGAGTGGGCGTGTCCCTACCGCATTTCTATTGTTAAAAAAACACAAAGTACGTAAAACTAATGACTCACCGTCGAGTGGTTGTCAGAAAATACACAATGTAATCCTTCGGCTGTGTTTATTTGGCTCTATTCAGCAGTGTTCTTCAACAATTTTGGAAAACGCCGAGCACAAGCAGCTAGTTACAGCGACAGCAGTGGAGGAGGTCCGAGTTCACCCCTGACCCGGAACGTAATAGTGTGCTGTCAGTTTGACCCGCCAAAATAAAACACGGGTTGATTATTTTGCGCAGGTTACGCTCATCTCGGTGCAGAGCGGAAGTGGCTCAACCGAGGATCCAATGTGTCTCTCCCTTCATACTCAAATCTATTACAACCCTATTTTCACTGGCTACATCCATAAAAGTGGCCAATGTTTATGAAAGTGGAATGTCTTGAGGTTTCCTGGTTGGTAGCAGCTAAAGACACTCAAGCTATATGAGGTGAAGGGTTTGAAAGGTTTGTCTCACAACGATGTCACACAAAATGACTTATCCTTCAGGGAGAAAGAAAAGAGGAAGAATAGAAAAAAAAGCCTAGATAAGAGTACGTTTAAATATGTCTTTGTTACGTTTATGAAGAGAAATTTTTGTCACTGCGAATAGAAAATTAGCTTTATAGAGACCTTGAGTGGTTCAGTTCAACAGCCAAAACATTTATTTATGTGTGAAGCAGAGTTTTAAGGCCTCGGTGATGCTAATTTTTAGCATCAGAGTTCTGATACTAAAAATTAGCATCAATGCTAAGCTTAGCTAAACAATTACAAAGTATCAAGCGGAGAAACACAAGAATGTTCACTATCACAGACCTGAACCGTTCAGTATGTTAAAATTAGTGTACAACGTAAAATTAGCCAAAATGCTAATGTCAGCGTGAATACTCTCAGTAGCATGTGGGGCATCACTAGCATGTTGTCTGTAATTGACTTACTCCATTCAGTACACTAAACCTGTCCAATAAGTAAGAGAAATAGCTAATACCTTATTTAAGGTAAAGGGCTAATGCAATGCCTTGCTGCACAAGGCAGAGCCCTAACCTGAGTGAAAAAGATAATGCAGGTTAATCTTACTAGTGGGGGACAGTGAAATGCTCATGTTTGGCCAATTTAGACTGATTTCTCCAAAACCATTGTGTTTGTTTATTAGATAGTCCTTGTTCAAAATTGTTAAAATTTATATCAAAATATGCATCTATGTCTGAAACTCACAAGGGTAGAAAGTCCTTATTTTTTCCCATGACTGTTTGTTGTAGATATTGTTAAGTGTGACCTTAAATGTGGCAGAAACTTTGACAAATCAATTTGTTCTTGAAGTGATACACCTCCCCGTTTGATCAAACGGACTCAAATTAAAGGTTGTATCTTTGTAAAATCTCCAGCATGATGTTCCTCCTGCAAACAACAGGATTTTAATTAAAGCTTAGGCGGTGACAGTAATTGCAGAGAGCACTCCATGAACACAACAAGCCCACAGTTTATTAATAATCCAGAGTATGACTGAGCAGTCCAATAAAGTTGTGACAGTTTTAAAGTGGCTACTTTTTCTGTGAAACGCAGAGGGCAAAAGCAGCAACTCGGCATAAATCATCGCTGCTTCATGAAGATAACAGATTTGTTCGCAGGCTGAAGAGAAAGAGCTGAATTATTACCATATCCTGTAATATGTGAACAATGAAATGAAATTGTTATGAAATCGAGTTTCATTTTCACACTTGTCTTGCTCCCTTTGAATCAGTTCTTACAACATTTATCTGAACAGCAATCATTATGAGCTATCTTTTCTCTTTCACAAATGAAGAAAAAATAAATACAATGTTAATATTTGAGAGATTTTTCTAGGTGGAATTGGACAAATGTACCATCTAGGAGGATCCAGTGGTAGTTCTTACACGAGTGATGCCCTGGTTGTCCCCCCACTTCCCACTGGGGTCCAACTCTTATCTTGGACAAAGCTAAAAATACTAATATTAACTTGCTAAATTAATTATATTAACAAACAGTATCGGAAAGAATCAAAGTGTAGTGTACAATAACCAAGTTCAAGATAGTCTTAGGAATTAAATATGGTCAAAATCACTTAAAAATAGTGAAATAGCCCTTTAATGTAGCCTTGACTCTGTAGCTGTAGCACAGCATCGTTAAATAGCTTTAATATAAAGCAGACATTGACATAGAAAATGGGAAACTATTTCAAGTTGCAATGGATCTTTTGCTTGTGACGCCCCCAGTGGGACAAGACGCCCTGTGAGGTTGCCCATATCTGATAAGACCTGTTCCACTAATATCACCTGATCCCTCCGAAGCTAATAATCAGTCATCATTAAAAGACTGCACAAAGAAAAGGGAAACGTACAAACAAAAGACTCGTGGACAAATAAATGTATGTTTTCTTTATTGTAAGTTCACAAAAACAAAAGACAAAAATGTAAAAAAAAAAAAAAAGAAGTCACTGGCTTCAAATCTGTGAAGGTTCAGAGGAACAAACGCAGCAGTGGCCTACAGAACTGACAGGCAGATGGTTGAAATCACTGGCTGTCAATTCATAGGTCATCACCTTGTGGCCCATCGCATTAAAACAACAACAACAACCGTCTCCAATCGACACCGGCAACCCTTGGTAATTGGTCGGTCTCTGCAGGTAACAGCACCTCCACTGGAACCGGCAGCAGCTTCCACATGGAGTTGCTGTTACATCCAGCGACAACCACTGGGATCGTCAATGACACGGAGGATGAAGATCGCCTCACACGCCCGCTTTCCTTCAAAGACAGAGGAAGAGAGAGGGAAAAGAAAGCTGTGAGCTCAGGCGAGGATCTGGATTCAGCTCCGCTCCCAGGCGACTTTGACCTGACAATTTCCTCCTCCCAGTTTTTATAGCCTGAAGTATAAACAGCATCATCGCTCGCGCTCCTCCAACAGCACGGCCAAAGGGCCAAGGCCTGTGTAGATAACACAGATTTTATGGCAGCTGTCTGCATGAAGGCGAGTATTAGGGTGTGTCTGACCTGTGTACCTGCAGGCCCCGTGTTTCCTGCTCACTCTGACAATTGTCTTCATAAGCTCTTGATAACTAACCTGCTTGGTAGGGTGAGCTAGAATATTTGGTAGGATTAATTCTAGCTTGGAAAGATGCAAAAAAAGAAGAAATCACAGTTAGAAATATGATTCATTCATCATGGATCAATGAAGTCCTAAAAGAGGAATAAACACCTCTAAGAAGAAGATGAGATGGGTTTTACCGTTCAGTAAATCATTTCTCTGTTTTTGCTTCTCTCTTCTACTCACCTTCAAATTCAACACGGCCCCGGCGGATTTCACAGAAGAGGCCAAAGGTTCGA